AAGAAAGTTCTTTAATACCAAAACTTGTGACTTGGAAGATTACCAGTTGGTCGGGCAAATTTCTCGTTATGAGCAATTTTTTCTTCTTTGCTTTCCACATATTTTTCCCGATTTTCCTTTCACATAATTTTCTCTCTTTGTTTTTTTTTCTTCTTTCGTGTGTGCGGTTTACTTCGTTTCCTTCTTTTTCTTTTTCTTTGGTCGCCAGAATGCTATAAAACTCGTTTCTCTCTGTGTTTCTTTTCTCTTCATTCAGCTTTCGGCTCTTTATTCAAATGCCAATGGAATCGTTTCACAAAACCCGTTTTCGCATTATTTAATACAAAATGGAACGAGCGAAAGAGAGAGAGAGAGAGAGAGAGCGACGGAAAAATAAATCTTCAAATGGAAAACGGTCAAAGGAGGGAAATAAGTTTAAATAAATATGTAAATAACTGTTGGATAAACGGATTCTTTCTCTCGTTGCCAATGATTTTTATCCGAGCGTTTTCGCTGTGTGGTGATTCATTTTGGTGGTTTCGATTCACCGACCATTTGCAAATGGGAATCGATATCCATTTTCGATTCGAATCGGTTTGTTTTCGATGGATTTTTTCTATATCACTCACACAGTGGCTGACTGGTTCTGACAGTGGCTAAATTTCGACGAGAGAAATTTTTTTCACTTTTGTATTTCATTCGAATGAATTGTGTTTACGGGATAAAGATTTAGAATCCGTTTAATGGCGACAAGTCGAATTGAGAGCTTTGTGTGAAGCCGATTTTTTTCTTTTTATTCTCGCTTTGACTTCGGTTTGACCGACCGATCAATAAATCATTATTTGATATCGAAAAAGTAGCTGACAGTCGGCATTGAGCGGCGACAACGATGGGCCACAGACACACCGTAAAGGCCAGACATTGGTAAACACAAATCGAACGAGAGAAAAAAAGGGTTTCAGCGTATACATATTTGAATACAAATCTGCAATAATATTGGGATCACAGATAATAGTCCATTGAGAAGTTTGGATCGTTTTTTTTTTTGGGAGGGTTCCGATTACTTTTCGAATGTGTGTGCGTATGGTTGAAATTGATTTGTTTGAGAAGATTTTGGGCCGGAAACTTTGAATGTATTTTGTTGAAAATCGCAAAATTAAAGCCACAGGTCATTTTAGGATATGGCCAATGCATAACATAACATTTGAGTTGTCAAAATCGATAATTAAATCGCATTTGGATGATATAATAACCTAAAAACGGCGCACAGTAACAGCAACCAAACCGCATCGGAAAAACGGAAAATAACACTCTGCTGTGAAAATGAAATGTTGAGAGTTTTAATTAATTTTTCGAGCGGATAGGCGCGCGCGCGCCCGTGATTTCCCAAAATGATGTTGAGTCGATGAAAATGTGGAAAAGTCATTATTTTGCTATAGAATTCCGCATGAAATGCTTATTTCCTAGTGACATAGCCATCATCACATCATGCACGATTTGATTGTGTTAACATATTGAGGGGAAACAAATAACTCATTGCGGATTAATATGATACACGCACAACAACAACAACACCAACAGCAAAAAAGTGCTTTCTTCGCCGATTTCCGATGACACACAAATCACTATTTGTGTTGTCACTTGTCAAGCGCATTAGATTTAGAACACTCGCACAATGACAATGGCAATGACGACGCTGCAGAGAAAAAAGCACGTATGTCAATGTGTCAGTGAGTGAACATCGGAAAGTTGAGGCAACGGTATTTTAACCGGTTCGCTTGTGCCGTAAAAACGACCATGGAATCGACGATAAACGCGTGAACAAAACAACCAACATCAGCAGCATTTCAACTAGAAAATGCAAAAATTGGCGTAGTGTGACAAATGTATGCGTAACATTACACATGAACGATGCCCTTTTTAACGCTAAACGTGAATGTTGTGTGTTTGTGCCGTATGCCGTGCGCCGTTGTAAATGTGATTATAGCTGCTATTGTTCAAAGTCATAGATCTTTTTTTCCAAGCATCACGCACGCGCGCGCTCGCCAATTTTATTTGTGTATCGCTATAGGCTTGGTGATATTTTTTTTCCTTGTTGTGACAATGCTAACTCGTACATTACACCAAAAACAGCTTTTATGGCTGTCACACTGCCGAGAGCGGCGGACGACACAAAAAAAAAGAACGAGAACAGAGACAAATTGCACAGAGCTGGATTAATATATTTAATGTTTTGTATTTAGATTCTAGTTTTATTGTCGATGGCAGAGAATGGGAGAGAGTGAGAGGCTTTGGCATGGTGCGTGCGAGCGTGCGTGTTGCCATGTATTAGAATCTAAATTGCATTTTAACCGTTTCACTACGTTGTACGCCCTTTCCAGTCGACTGGATTTTACAATGATGTGTCGATAAAGGAGCAGCTTAAACAACACACTGAATCCGGCTTTCGATTGACATAAATTACGGCAATAAGATTAAAATTATTTATCTTCTCAACGAAACGTTAAACACATTTTGATTGCAGCTCTTTCGATCGCCTACACACATTCATGCATTGCGTTGAGCTACGCGAATTTAAATCTGTTTTTTTTTTCAATGCGGAATTCCAAAAATTATGGGACAACGCGCGCCATCAAGATTTCCATGATTAATTGAATCAAACTATGGAATCTGATTTTTGATGGAGCACACTTTATTTCGCTAGATTTTAAATGGCGACATATTTTCGCTCACTCTCGCTCTCTTAATCTCTCGCTGTCGCTATTCCAGCCGTGTGCGAATAGAGAAAGAGAGAGAGAAAGAGAGAGAGAGAGAGAGAGAGAGAGAGAGAGAGAGAGAGAGGAAAAAAGCGAATGTGCATCGTCATTTGTGACGGAACATTACATCTCTCGTAATTAATTGAAAGCATTCTGTAAATTATGTTGTTCATTTAAAGTACCAGCATTAAGGTTTCAATAATGTAATGGCCTGTAGTGTTCTTATTATGTTTCGACATCACTACATTGAAGTTCTTTCTCTGGGTATATATGGGTCTCTCTCTCTCTAATTTGTCGATTTTTCTCAACGCCGCTCATCTACCATTAAAGCATTTCTTGTGCTCGCTTGCGCTATTACTGTGTCATTATTGCGATGCACTTTACTGCGTTCATACTATAAAATCTTGTGTAATAGCGTGAAATTACCTTTGCAATTTTTCTGCTCCGGTTCTGTGCTCAAACCATATTTAGTGTGTCATGTTCAAATGGCCTTTTTACGATTAAATTGTAAGACAAACACACACACACGTGCAAAAAAACAACCTCATTTTGCTGTACGACTCAAATGGAGGCAATGCCACTTGCAATTTGCAACTTTTAAATGGTTGTTGATCAAATGTCACGCCTCGAAAGAAAAAAAAAACAAACACATCTACTGCACGAAAGTGATACATTTTAAGAAATACGGAAATTAACTTCATAGGGCATTTTATAACTTTTCTGCTTTGTTTTTTCTCTTCTTCTTTCAAATCAGTGTTCGTGAAAGGAATGTCTAAAATGTTTGCATGGTAGAGTGATTTTACTGTCATTAGTTTAACAGTGTTTCACCAATTCACTTGATTAAAACCAAGAACGATTTCCAAACTTCGGAATCTGAAGTTGGTCAAATGCTGATCAATAATTCATTTTCGTTCATTTCCGTTCAATTCACCCCAAATAAAAATGCATCAATACCAAGATGATTGCAATAAAAACAAAACTCTTCTCTAAAGCATTTAACGTTTCGGTATTTAATTTGAAGAAAACCGACTTTTTCGCATTGAACGAACGAAAATCGAATAATAGAAAAAGTTGCGTTGCTTCATCCTTTCGTTTCTTTTTCCTCTTCCGGTTTGGACATAACAAAGCGGGTAAAATGTATGAAATTACATCGTTTCTCTGGGGAATAATCAACGAACAAAAGGATGCTGGGAATGAAGAAGCGACAGATGTGTATGTTTTTACGTTCTCACAATAATTACATCGTATTCTCTGCAATGGGCGTAGGATTCATAGAAGAAAATCATTAACTTAGTTCCAGCAAAAGCGAAAAAAAACGCAGCAATGATTTGAAGCAAAAATCGGCCAGCAAACGGGGAGAAAAAAAATCATGGAACATAAAATGAAATGAATAGAGGAAGAAAAAATGCAAATGCACCACGGAAACAAACGCTTCCATTGCAAACTCAAACTACAATAATAACGGTTTTTTTCTCTGCCGCTTGATTCGCAACGTCTTGGCAACCGTATTTCTTGTGCATTTTTTTGCCGCGAATGTTGTGCGTTTTCGTTTGCAATTAAGAACTTTAATAGCAAATGTAGGATAGCCGTGGAAAATGCACAACTTACAGCCAGCTGACTCCCTCTCTATCTCCCTTGTTCTCTCCTTCGCTCTCTCCTGGTGGCTTCTTCTTCGTAGAGTAAATAATATTGCACACTTTAGCACTCGCATACATTCTCTACGCATACACTCTTTATGCGGATGGTTACTACTCACTCACTGGCTATCATCACGAGCTTTAATGCAATTCTTCGCTGGCATTTTTTTCGCAGTTGTTGTAGTAATTTCCTCGCGTTTGCTGTGTCTAATGAAAGTTTTCTTATTAAATGTACACGGGCTAATAGTTTTTGCCATCGTCATAACACGCGCGCACGGACGCATTTCATTCTTAATTTAAATTTATTTTTCAATTTCCTTGGACTTGAAAAATAAAACTTTTTACTTCTTCGGACCGGTTTTTTCTCCTTCTCGTTTCTATGGACCGGCTCTCTTCTATCTTGGATCGATGAGAACACACTTGTTTATTTTTTGTGCGCATTTACACTTTTGGCTTAAAAAGCAGCAAATTAGATGGGTTTTTTTCGTATTGCATAAGTTGTTCTGTGAATAAAAACACTTTTTTTATTCAAATGAAACAACTTCCTTGCAATTTGACATGAAAATTGGTGCATTTGACGTGGAACTAAAACTGGTAGTATGTAATTGAATAAATCATTTTTAATTACCATTCAATTCCCAATGTTTGCGCGCAATATCGTTGGTTTCTGTTGATGGACCGGAAAATACCTGGAACAGACACAAAAAACTAGTGTTGAAAACGGTTCATACAACATATCGTTTCGTTTGGCAACCAAATTCCGGGAAATTTAATGATATTTCGATTGCCGGATTTGTTCAAACAGGGCTGGAATTCTAAGAATTCCACCAAAATCGTTTGGAATTATTTTTTTCGTATGTAAATTTATAAATATTGGAGTGAAAGAGAGAGATTCCACAATTTTTCACCGTTCCAACGGAATTATTCCGATAATCCAATGAAGAGTGAAATGTGTGAGAATCAGTGGTCGCAACGGGCGCCCGTCCCGAAGTCCCGCCCGAAGCCCGCCCGAGCCCGAACTTTTCGGGCACGGGCGGGGTTCGGGCGGGGTTCGGGCTGACCTCTTCGGGCGCTCGGGATTTTACGGATTTCTCGGGATTTTTTCGGGCTTCGGAACTCGGGAACTTTTGGGAAAACCTTTTCTTTCAAATATTTAAAACACAGAAGCCGACTCAATAAGTTCAGTTGTTCCTTAGGAATATAATCATTTCATGAAACTATCAAAAACTGAACGATTTCAATTGAACGATTTTTCGTCGATGAAAAAATTGAGTGGATTTGTTCCCTTATATGAAGAATTCTCCACATCATCTTTTGACCGGTGAATTTTTCTGTTTTGCAAATTCTAAACATGGCATTGGTTTCAATGAGTTCTGTTGGTATATAGGAACTCATTCAGTCCATTGAACCATCATGAAAGAGTGTATTTCAAAATTTCGTCGAAAGAATTTCAAGTCATTTTTGTACTCGAGAGCAAATAAATCGAATTTCAAAACGCAATTTTTTTTATTTTGCATTTTTCATCGTTTCAAACGATTGAAATATGCCCAATGAAACGCTATGAACTCGTTTTAAATATAAAACAGTGGCTGTATGGATGATTTTGAATTTTTATAAGACAAATTTTCAATCTTCTGTGTTTCAGAACGGTATTTTCCGTTGAGTTGTTGTTTTCGTAAATTGTATGTTTACAGAAAATTCAAAATCAACCATACAGCCACTGTTTTATATTCAAAACGAGTTCATAGCGTTTCATTGGACATATTTCAATCGTTTGAAACGATGAAACATGCAAAATAAAAAAAATTGCGTTTTGAAATTCGATTTATTTGCTCTCGAGTACAAGAATGACTTGAAATTTTTTTCATGAAAAATTTAAATCGATTTATTTCCGGTACTTTTATGAGCTGAATGAGTTCCTATGGTCTAACTGAACATAATGAATCCATTCGTACGACAAAAATACCAAGAACAACGAATTTCGTTAGTCAAAAGATCATGTCGAAAATTCTTCAGATAAGCAAAAAATCGATTTAATTTTTGTTCACCAAAATTTTGAAATAAAGCTGTTTTTCATAGTTTAATGAATTCAATGAGTTTCTAAGGGCCAACAGAACTTATTGAATCTGCCTCTGTGTTTAAAATATTGGAAACAAAAAATTTTGCCGTTCAAAAGTTGCAATCGAAAATCCCTCATATAAGGCAAAAATCGATTCAGAATTTTTTTCAACAAAATTTTCAAATCGAATTATAATTCATAGTTTAATCAATTTAATGAGTTTCTGGAGTCTTTTTGAACACATTGAAACCAATTCCATAGCAAAAATACGTAAAACAAAAAATTTTGCCGTTCAAAAGCTGGAATCGAAAATCATACATATTGAGAAAAAATTGACTTGAAATTCTTTCGACGAAATTTTGAAATACACTCTTTCATGATGGTTCAATGGACTGAATGAGTTCCTATATACCAACAGAACTCATTGAAACCAATGCCATGTTTAGAATTTGCAAAACAGAAAAATTCACCTGCCAAAAGACGACGTGGATAATTCTTCATATAAGGGAACAAATCAACTCATGGCTAGTTTCGATTTGGAACCGTTTTCACATTTGTAATATCGAAAGCACCGAATGTCGGTTTTGTTGTTGAACGCATTTTTAGTGCCCGGTTTTCCCATATCGTTTCGAATTCCTTCTATGTTGCTAATATTAATTCGTCTAATCGTTGAAGATCTGTCTAAATTGTTGGCGAAATTATCTTGAATGGTTTATATGTCCCGAAATTCCCGAGCCCGTCCGACCCGGAATTATCCGACGCCCGACGGGCGTCCGAGTCCCGAAACTTCCGTATTGCCCGAGCACCCGAGCTCGGGCATTTTCGGGATTCGGGCCAAATTTTCAATTTCGGGCGGGCGTCGAGCGGTCTTCGGGCACGATCTGGAGCAGTTCGGGCGGGCGTCAGGCTGATTTTTTGGCCCGCTTGCGACCTCTGGTGAGAATCTCTCTCTTTCACTCTAATATAGTATTACGTACGAGAAAAATAATTCCGAACGATTTTGGTGGAATGACTTAGAATTCCAGCCCAGCTTTTTCTCGTGAAATTAGTGCATCAAATTCCACAAAAAAGGTTATTTCGATTAAGAATATGCATATTTTGATGCTGTTTCATGGATTTTCCGACAAATAGTGTTGATCAAACAACAATGGTAAAATACAAACTTCAACTGCGTCAATAAGTCAATTTGAAATATCCCAAAATCGAATGCGTTAAACACTTACGATTGTTTGTGTGTAAATGTAGAAATTTGATTTAAAATCACATTCGAAAACGTTGTGCATTGTGCAATGTAATCTGAGCTGTTGTGAAAACTGCAAAATATCTCAAAATAGATCAAATGGACGGGATTAATCCCGACGGAATTCACTCGTTTTACGAATATTCGAATTACACGAAATTCAGTACCAAATCTCAAAGAATTGCATAAATAAAATGAACAAGCACTGACAATGTGAATTAACCAAATAAATGTAATGAAATGAAACGAAAACAAACGAATTTTTTTCTGTTTCTTCACAAAAAATCCAGCAATTTCTATTTTGGTTGCTCCCAATTAAATAATGAAAGTTGGTTTATTCCAAACACTAGAATTATTCTATCTTTCCGCAAATAAATGGCTTCATTCAAAAAGTTTAAAATAAATGTGACACATATGTCTATTGGTGAGACGTAAAAGAACTCAAGTTGGTCCAACTTCGTAGCAATAAAGAGAAGTATGTTTCATTGCAACTAATAATGGTTAAAAGAATGTATGTTCATTTTTAGCGGGTCCTCGCGGTTTTTCACGGTTGGTCAGTTATCTCTTATCTCTTATCAGTTCCGCGAAAAGCGCGAAAAATGATAAGAAAAAAAAAGTTCTATATAAAATTTGCTTTTTTATGTGCGCGATTTGCGCGCAACTGATAAGAGATAAGAGATAGGTATCTTCAGTAATGTTATAGGAGACCTCGAGTGCTACAACTTTGCTGAAAACACCTAGTTGTTATCTCTTATCATTTGCGCGAAAAACGTGAAGACCGCGGAGGCTAGACGGTACTACAACACACTTTCTTTTAATGCAGATAGAATCAACAGAAAACATACTTTCCTTTTCAAAAATATAAATCGACAAAAAAACATACATTCTTTTACATCTCACGAATAGATGTGTGATTCACATCCAATTCACGCTAACGAAAGTAGAAGAGCATTAGTTGCGCGTTCTCTTTAATCTTATTTACTGCAAGTCTCGTTCGTTTACACAATTCATTGTGGGTGCGTTTGCGATTTAATGACTCGTTGTCATGTGACGGCAGCAACCAGTTAATTTCATTTATCCATGCCTCCTTCACTGGTTCGCAATTCCCAAGAAATGATTCGAATACAAATTTTGAAATTCGAACTAAACAGCTCGCACCGGTTTTGATAGTGGTAAAAGTGGATAGACAGATTGGCAGGTGTGTTTGTATTTTAAATGGTAGCGAACGATTTCAAGCGAGCTTTTCAATTGCCACACATATCACATATCACATATCGTTGCTTCAATGAGCACAAATGGTAGTTAGTCCAATTCATTACGAAATTGAATCTTTTGCCAGTAATCCAACTGGCATGACGAACGCTTTCAAAACCCAACGCACGAACGCTACTGTCTCAATCAGATATGGAGAAATGAAAAGGATTGAATGGAGCTTATTGAAACAGCTAATTGGATTTTATTCTCAAGAAATTATAAAGTTTTCCACAAAAAGAAGCAACTAATCAATTTGACAACGCTCTGTGGAATTCGTGATTCAGCAGCTCGTCCATTTTTCCGTTGCAAGAAGTGAATTTATCGTCGAATTGGATGAATTCGAACTGTGAAATGTATCGAAGCAAAGATGAGCTTCATTTCAGCCACATGATATGTCATACTTATCAAAAATATGATGCGATACATCATCTCAAGATGAATGCATAGATCAATTATTATGCTGTTGAATTCATTTGAGTGTGATTCGGGCCACACCGATTGGAAAATCTCTCTTGTTCAACGATATTAATCATTAAATATTGCCATTAGAATGATTCGATTCATTAACGATGCAGCATTTCGTATTAAATCATTTGCTTCTCGATCCCAATGATTTGTATCGAAAAATGACATTTCCAGGTCAGGATGCGATGGCTTTTCATGCAAAAGAGACGATTCCATGATTTGTATTATGATCATTGTCGGAAATATTAATGATTTGGCTGACACACCACCGACACACAAAAGCACGTATAATCTGAATGGTAAATTAGCTCCTTACGGCACACTGGCTCTGCATAGCATTGTGGTTATCTGTCCATATTTACACTTTAATTGCTACTTTCATTGGAGACAACAATAGCAAGTGCACCAGAGTATACTGATTGCATGTGCACTGGCGTATGTGTGTGTGCGTGTGCGGTGTGCACTGTGCACACAAATGTGCATCGCATCCCCAGCTGCACTTGTGACCATCTTACATGACATGAAATCCATTTTCTAACGCAATTAGAAACTACAAGCGAATGAAACATTTGCCAGTTAGATTTCTCATCTGTGGTGTCGGTTGATGTGATCTTTTGCTATCGGATGCAATAAATTATGGATGAGTTATCCATTGTTATCATTCATGTCTT